ATACATATGTACATGTGTTTGCATATAAATTTTAGCATTAATATGGCGATCAGCGATGCACTGGGCGGACATTAAGTGATTTTTCCACTACACAAATTTATTGCTATATAATTAAATTTTATTTTGTTGTCTTTTGAATTATGCACATTTGTCGCAGCTCATTGGAAATGTCTTATTTGCTTTCAGCTAGACAAGATCTTTTTCTATATATAAGTATATATATTTTTTGGAACGTTGTCTGAATTGCACTGGGATTTGTTTATCGTTTTCTTTTTTTTTTTTTTTTTTTTGTCATCATCTCGAAAATATTTATGAATTCCGTTTGGAATTCATTTGTGGAACATCTTAAATATGACTAGCATAATTTTTGTTTTCTTTTTAATATTTGATCAAAGGGCATTTTAAAGTCGCATATTTTGATAATATTGAAAAAGCAAAATATGATTTAAGTGTGGAATAATTTGATATTCACGAGATACATTAAAGGATATAGTAAATAAAAAGTCAATTTACATTTTTTGACTTAAAATTTCGTTTAGCTTTTATGAAAAAAAAAAAAAAAAAAAAACTTTACTATTATTATTTTTTTTATATATATTTTATTTTGAGTAATTTGGTATTTTTGTAGCTGTTCTTAAATATAAGTAATTAAATAATTTTTTGCTGGTATTTTTTTTAACTAAGGAAATGGGTTTCGTTTATGCTTTGCATTAAAAACTCATTAAGGAAAGACCTCAAACATAAAAACTGATTCGGTTTTGTGCTAAAACCCACGCAATATATATATATATGTATATACATTATTTATGTTTATATCGACGTGAATCTACATTTATAGTTTATATGTAGGTCTTTTGAAGCAATGCATCATTAGCAAAAATCTTTCCGAATTAGTTGCGCGTAGTTAAGGCAAGAAAAAAATGAACGAGTATAGAAAATGGAGCAACAAAAATGTATTACCCTTGTTTTTTATGCATTTAATGTTTAAAATATTTTTTTTATGACTTAAAAATCAGAATACCATTTCTAGATATATATTGATATATATATTCTATATTGATATATTTCTTGTCAATATCGATCAATAATGTAAGTATATGCATATATATGTTTGTCAATTTTCGCATGCAAAATTTATATACCCTCTAGCTGCAAATAGAAACAATTCAGTGTCTCGTCAGAATGACAAGTGTATATAGACCGCAAAAATGATTTTTTTTTTTTTTCATGTACAGCGTATATGTATATGTTATGCACAGATATTTAAAATAGAAATCTTCATATAACTCAAGTCAAATGCGGGAAAAATAAAAACGAAACAATTTGAGAAATGAAAGCGAAAATTTTTATGATAAATTGTACGACATTTTTTAAAATTTATCAGTAGGCAAGTAAATAATTATATATGTATATAGAAGAGCATATATAAGCAAATATATATAGATTTATAGATTGTTTGGTGGCGCGCTTTTGACATCAGGTTTTGCTCTGCTTGTTTGTCAAGAGGGGCGAAAAAAAAAAAAAAAAAAAAAAAAAACCAACTGTCCACATAAATTTTTGAGATATATATTTTGTTATTTTCATTTTGAAAAATATCAGCGCACAAGAGCCGCCCACATGGCCCGGGCTGAGAAAAAGAATAATTTGTTTTTTTCTTGTTTTTGCACCCGTCGTTTATAGAAAATATGGCAATAATTAAATCATCGAAGAGTCGCGTCTCGAATCGAATTGTTTTGAACAGGTGCCGACGCGCAGCGACGCGACGTAGCAAACGACAGCGAATGGGCGGCAACAGTTGGCCAAGATTATCGAGACATATCGATGATGCATATTAATGAACGATCGCTGGTCTAGTCTATGGTTAGTCAGCCATCTCACACTAGTTGCTAGTTGCACTAACCTTTGTCCCAGTTGACGCGTGGCTTGCCCTCCAGAGCGTATGGCGTTTCAATCAGCTGGAAGCCGTGCGACTGAATCAGACCCTTGGCCTCGGCAATCAACTTGGCCTTCAGCTTGTCGGTGACGCCCTTGTAGTGATAGGTGACCGAAATCTTCTTGTCCTCCACCCAGGCGCCGGAGCAAACGACCTGCGGAAAGAGAATTAAGCAGAATTTGATAAGTATTCATCTCATAGTGGGTAGGGATCGATTTGTTTTACCTTCTCCTTCAGCTCGGCGACCAGCTTGTTGTGCTTCTCGAGCAACTCTTCGGGCATTTCGATCTTGAACTTCTTGCCGGAAGGATATTCCACTTCCAGGCCATGGTTGCCGGCATAGGTAACATTGGGGAATTTCAGATGGTTCTTGATTTCGCTCAGCTCACGGCCGGAGAAGACAACCATGAATATCTTATCGTTGGCAGCCAGTTTCTTGATGTTGATCTCCGTATCCTTGGGCATCACCGACAGCTCCTCGGTCAGAGGCGCAAGGGTGCCATCGTAGTCCAACAGCAGGGCCACCTGATCCTTTTCGGGTGTGATGAAGCTAAGCACAGGTCACAGAGCATTGAGAGCCTGCTCGCGTATCTTTTTGCTTAGTACTTACCCTTCCAGAGCCTTGACGAAGTCCTCCTCCTTTTTCAAGAGCGGTGCTTTCTTTTGTTCAGCCATATTGTGTCTCTAGGCTAGTACTTTAAGTATATATCTATATATATATATATGTATCTATAAATCAGATGCTGTATCCACCGGAAACTGTGCGACGTGCTGGACGTACCTCGACCGACTTAATACTAATGCCAAAATCGCAGCAGCGCTAGCCCCATGCCAGAAATCTATATGCATGAGAATTCTATCCGAATTTTGTTCTCTCAATTCTGAATTCTCAATTCTCATGCGCGCTCATGAGTGTGACAACCCTGGTCACCCCGACGCAGCCAAGTAATGGTGGGCACGTTATTTATGAGGCAGATGTGCATAAAAAAAGCACATACCATATAATGGAAGCACGTCTATATATATGTATAAATAAATGTATATAGCCTGGTTATACACACAAGATTGTCTTCTACATTATATAGGATAGCTTGTATAGCGAGGTGGGATCACAGCGAGTGGTGGTTGAGGTCTGAGGTCGTTTTTGTTTTGGAATTGCCTCCATTGACACAGTTCTTACCATTTGTACTTCCTTTGACTTTACTTGAGCTTCATTCATTGATCGAGTGTTTATGGTATACGATTCCACAAAAACACATATATCTTGACTAACAGCTGATCGTGTTTTCTTTTACTTTCTTAGCGGATCCATAAATTATGGATGTAAGCACTGAATTATAAACAATCCGTTTTATATAGTGCTATATTAGAGTCTAGAATGCGGACTATGCGCAGTTCCTAAGTGGTCCTAAACAGATTTTTGTTTAGGCATATATAAATCAATATACCAATAAATAATCAAGTGTATGTAATTCTAGGGTTTAGATTACGAGGTATATGCTTATATGGGTATAATATAATATATAGTGCTCAATTGCATAACTACAATAATTGCGAATAGCATAGAGAATGGATATTTTATTTGATATAGTTTTGGCTGTAATGTTAAAGTATGAGAGACATGGAAGTACATTAAACCTGATCGTCACGACATTATAATCCTATATATATAATTATAGCAGTGCGTCAGACTAATCCGGAATATCATTATCTAAGCTTTCGCTTTAATCTATTTTACCTTCCGGCACCCCTTTGAACGCACGTTCTCTCGCACTCCCCTAGTGTTCGGAAATTATTTATATTACCGCCGCATCCGCCATAGTAAAAGAGTTTGCACACATTTTCTCTATAGCAGTATGTCCAGCGGGAAACTATTTGGAGGCAAATATAAGCTCCGTAGCCCTCTGATGCTGGCAGTCGAGTACATCTGTCTGAAGACGAGTCAAAAGTTAGGCAAGTCCCTCGGGATCAGTGACTAAGACTTACAAGGCAAGGCGACCAGAGAGCGGCCAAAGAGTGCGATGAGAACGCAAAAGACTGCTGCAAACTTCATGTTGTATGTATTCTTCCAGCTTCGGTAGAGCAACTAACAAAAAGTGTTGCAGTTAACAGCGAAACCAATTGACAATCAAGAAATAGGCGGCTTACAGCACAATCGAATCTAATTGGAAGCAATACAGATTGATTTAACCATTTGCAGGGCTTCATAATTTGTAATGCCATTTAGAGAGATGGACCCTCTGCCGTTTCGTGCAAATTTTTTATTTAGTCAGATAATCTAATTTACTTTTTGTTCCCTCGCACTGTGCGAACTGAACTGAACTGAACTGACCTCCATTGTCAATAAATAAATGAGAA